TGTGTATATAAAAATGTTTGTATGATAGAAAGTTCGAACATTATTAATCTGCTGTGAAGCTGAGGAGACGTGTTGAAGCTGGGTAAGTCGGTGTTGGTCATGTTAGCTTTTGATTTGCACATGCATGCCTGGCTTTATATGGAGCTGAAAGAAGAGGCAAATGAAGTTGAAAAGAAAACGAATGCAAATCGTATTTAGCCTTAGTAACAAAAAGTGACTAAAATAAACGCGAAATGCACGCTACGGATTTATTGACAAGTTAAGATTATGCATGTGTGTTCTTTCAGTGAGTCAACAAAAAACTAATTTTCTAATCTGTATATTAAATAATGCTGGGGTGGTGAGTTCGCTGAAGGTGAAAGAAATGAAGAAGAAGTGGATGTAATAACTTTAGTCAGTTTGATATTATTCGACTTAGAAGTTAGCTAACCATACGTCAACGTAAGAATCTCATAGCTTACGTCCTTGCATTAGTAATTTCCCATAGTTCAGCACATGGTTAGAACGTCTATTAATAACCCCAAAACTTTCATACGTAAATCACTCTTTGTTGCTCAAAACAAATAAAAAAGCTTCTAAAATTAATAAGCACAATCAGAGTAACTTTTTTCTGTTTTGTTTAAAATAGCCGCCCCCACAGCAAGTTCCTTTTCTAATACCATTGGTTGCCTATGTGCATAAGAATAGGTTGTAACATTGATCTGCTGTGAAGCTGACGAGACGTGTTGTTGAAGATTGGTAATTTGGCGACGTTCGTTTTTACTTATTATTCTGTATGTGAATGCCCGGCTTTTTTAGCTGCAAAGACACGAGGCGATGAAAAATAAACGAATGCAAATGGTATTTATCCTTAGTAGTACTAAAATAAGCACAAAATGCCCACTAGGGGGCATATTCAGTCACAGTGACGCGCGTTTAGACAAATCTCGCGCGAGCGAATATATTGATGGATTACAATGAAACCATAATAAGAAGTCTGAGAAGTAATATATCAAAGACGAAATACCGTGTTTGACCACATTTCCAAACACCGAGAAGAGAGTTGAAAAATACGACGCGCAGCGGAGTACTTTTGACGAACTTCGAGGTGTTTGGAAATGCGGTCAAACACTCTCTTGAGTTTTTGATATATCTTCTCAATCGGAACTAAAACTTAGGAGAAAACGGAGAAATAAAATCGTAAAAATCTATGCTAATTATGATCAGATATCCAAACACCGTCATGGTCAAGATTTCCTTTGTTTAAACTTGATGAATTATTAATGAGTTTGAGAAGCATTAGTCGCCTTCCCAGGCAAATAGGACCAAAGTCGGTTATTGACTGTTATAAAGCTAAAGCCAATTGCAATGTAGTCTGATGGAGCAAACGGCGGTTGAGTGCAATCGCTTTTTGTGAAGTTTGAGTTTGTTTCAGCGGAGTGTTTCGTTTGCATGGGAGATAGAGAGTTTTAATATGTTTGACCGCCGACTTTACTTTTACATAATTTTATATATGCTTTTCAAAGTTAAAAGTGAAAACTACAAAAAAATTTAGCGAAGAAAAGTCATAATTAGGACCGTACGATCCGTTTTTCTTCTTTCAGACCTTCTTTGGTCGAATTAACGGTGTACCACAGTGGCACATCATTAGAGCGTTTTCACTCAGATGGCCGACAGCCATGCAAATTTATTAGAACAAAAGAAAGCGTTTATTCATCAAGTAAAGAAGCCTCGACTGTGATCTGTTCTGTTGTACGAATTAAGAACTGTAGGGGGAGACACGAGACGTAGTAGAGTGTTGGTGTCTTTTTCTTGAGTGCTCTACCGCTTCCTAAGTGCTTTACAAGAGACAGAGACAGTTATGCAGAGACAGTTATGCAAACCCTCGACTGCGTCTCGGGTTTGCATAAGTTTCAAGAATTCTCCAAAACCCCCAAATGCTTAGATGAGGCTATTTGAACACGCAAAGTACAAAAGTACCCTATTGCTTTTATAAAATATTTCTCAAGGATGCACGCGAATCTAAATTGTCACAATCATGTTTACATGCTATCATCTAAACACACCTATCGGCCAATGAGCGGACGCGTGGTATATAAGTTATTTTTATAAATATATATTTTATCATTCAAGCGAGAGAGCCGTACTGCGAGAATATCGGCCAAACGTCTTTAAAGTACGGACTGAGCGCAGCGAGGTACGTACAAAAAGAACGAGGGGCAATATTTTCCCAGTACGGTCCCGAGTAACCTTGGTTACTGAGGGATTTATTACTCGACGGAAAATTTTTAGAAAAACACACCTGGAAAAACATCGCAAATTTCACGCGTAAAATTCTTATTGGGAGCCGACTAGGCTTATACTCACGCCTGAGTTCGAAGAAAAGGAAAAGAAATCTTATATGCCAAAGAAAGTTTTTCTCAGAAACGTATACGTTATAACATGACTGTCAAAAATTCTTCAACAGTGATCGCCCGGGATCATTCGGGAAAGCGCTTGGTCCAATTCTTAGAGAGTTTTTAGATAATTTAACACCGGAAATGGAGCAATCTGATCGTTTGATTTTACTCAATGGCCCTCCGAACTATCCTAAGTAAGATGTGCATACACGAGCTCTTTTCGACGCATGTTCATCCGTCAGTACACAGTTCAGCACTGACGACAAGCTGAAAGTTTCGGGGATCTTGCATGGAAAATTCTTGAGATGCAGGGCTACATCTTACTACCTCCT